CTCGATGAAACACTAGCACATCTTACGTTCCAACATAAGTGAAGCTGCGTGAAGCAGTATCACGTGACAGTTTACAAAAAGAATTGTATGTATCACTGTTTCTTAATCCACCGCACGAACCTATGGGACCAGAAAAGTATGAGTTTGTAAGTTATTCCCATAAAAAATCTTTGAAAAACAGTATCGAAACTGTTTCTACTCTAATGCTCAAGGACTCCTCGGCAGATTTCCAGAGTTGAAGTTACGTTTTATATCTAGTCAGTGGGATATTATTGCTGTTACAGAGACTTGGTTCACAGGTGATATTTCGGACTCCGAATTGTCTTTATCAGATATGTCTCTACTCAGGAGCGATCGTCCTACCCGTGGTGGTTTTCTACTCTACTTCCGAAACGGTCTTAATTGCCAGCGAATCTACCCTCCCGTTTCGACACCGGACACTCTGTGGTGCAGGTTGGAGTTGTCCAAACTTGACGATTGTTTGATTGGTGTAGTCTATCGTCCTCCATCATCCCCGGAGACGGCCAATGAGACGCTTTTACTAACTATGTCACACATTCTTACAAAAAATTCTAACCCATATTCTCCTTATGGGTGATTTCAACTGCCCCAATCTCAATAAATCAGCTACCGTTCGCCCATTTTTCGAACATCATTTCAAACGGCTGATTGACTCGCATCCACTATACAACCATGTGAAGGTGGCCACTAGATTTGGCAACCTACAGTCACCGTCCATACTGGATTTAGTGTGGACCAATGAGGAGCTGATGGTAGGGTCTGTCAATGTTACTTCTCCCCGAGGACGCAGCGGTCACGCAGTACTCACATTCAAATATGTTTGTTACGCTTCCAATGAACGAAGTTCTTCTGGTAACACGCGCAGATCTATAGACTACACACTGTTGAATGACTTGGCGCTCTCTGCTCAGTGGGTTTCCTATGACGAAGAAGCTAATCCGTTGGTCGCATGGAAGAAATTTACTGAAAATCTTACAAATATAATAACATCCGTGACTAAAACTAGAGTAATCACCAAATCGGGCATCCGAAATTCAACCTATTCGAAGCCGCACAAAGAAATGGCTTTTGGCGAGGGATTCAGCCTGGCGAGATTATAATCATCTTCCGAATGCTGTCACATGGAATAATCACCGTATGCGGAGGAGCCACTACACCAGGCTGATTCGTGAGGATAAAGTGAAATACCAAGAGGCGATAGCACAAAAATTCATTTCTAACTCTAAGCTGTTGTACCAACAGGTCAACTCCATTCGGAAAGTAAAGTTTGGTATACCAGTACTAAGTAGCGCTGGAAGAGTTGCAGCCACTCCAACGGAAGCAGCGCAAATGCTGAAAATTCATTATTCCAACATATTCGCAGCGCCACAGATTGAAGATTTACAAGTGCCCCACCGGTTGCATCATCCTCCACATCCTTCACTCACCTATGTATCATTTACTGCTGAAAACGTTAAAGCAAAACTAATGGCTTTGCTAAAATATGCAACCCCAGGTGTGGACAACATACACCCGGCGTCTGTGATCTTTTTGGCAAATCACATATCCGAACCGCTAGCTATTCTGTTTCAACGAATGTTCGACCAAGCAACACTTCCGGAATCGTGGAGACAAGGAGTCATTTCGCCCATATACAAAGGTGGTTGTCGTAGCCCTGCTTTCGGTGTTATTGAAAGTCATGGAGTCAATTGTGGCCGATTCTCTGATGGAGAACCTCAAAGGTACAACATTCTCTCGAACGCTCAACACGGGTTTAGACAACAAGTGATCCTGCACCACGAACCTGCTTCTTGTTCGAGATGAATGGACCAGTACAGTTGACGAAGAAGATGCGGTG